ATCTAGTGTATCTACCGTAAAAAATTAATTTAATCAAATTTATTAATGGATACGTTTGGAATAAAAATTTTTAACGCTCTTTTATTCGAATTAATTATTTTTTCTCTCAATAATTCGTAGTCCGGTTAAATCGAAAACCATTATGAATCGAATTTTCAACTCGTTCACCTGAATTTCGAATAATTCTGTCTTTTGTACAGTGATCACCCCAAAGACTATATTATGTACATTTAATGAAAATAATTTCATAGGATGTTAGATTACATTGTAGTGATATACCTATTCGTATTCCTCAATGTTTGTTTTGTTTTCACATTTAAGTAATTTACAAGATTACCAGATAATATATATAGGTACATATATATTCTATAGAAATGCGATGCTATTGATTTGGATGTTGACAGTAACATAGTTACATCATACTTTTGTTATAAATTAAAGTTACAGCAAAGTACTATTTCACCTTGTGAGCTCAACGTAGAGAAATCTGTGTTTATATTTTCGCCTTTGGAAATCAACGGAGAAGGTAAGTATTTAAATGTTAAATTTATTACTTAGAATATATGCTTAGGTATCTTCTTCGGGCATTCCTTCGTCAACAGTACAAAATTCTATACATAACAAAAAAAAAAGGAAGCGTTTTACGTAATGACAATAGGTACATGATTGTGTATTCCAGTAATTCTCAATCGGGGTGACATTTTACGAGAAAAAAAGAAAAAAGGGATGAAAAAATAAATCATTTTTTCAAATAAAATTATTGTCACCACCATCATGTAAATAGCATAACTGAAATTTCGTATCTACATATTATTTGTATTTCACATGAACGATATAGTTAAAATCGTTTATTATTTTGATGTTAGAGCGACGCAGTGTTCGATTCTAGTAATTAATGGTGACATAAATCGAAAATATTGAATATTAATAGTGTAACAAAAATTATTTTCGTTCTGTCAGTCGATGTTGATTTTTGTTTGTTAACATATATCCTGCACCTTTGTACCAAAAACTAATAGGTACTTAGGTGTACATAAACCTAAATATTTTGTAAACGGTCTGTTTTTTATATAAATATTAACTTTTTGTAATTTTGTAAAAACTAAAGTACCGTAGCACACGTTCTTTATTGAAAAAAAAACTAGGGGTGATCTGATACTTAAGTTAAGTTGTTTAAAAATTAATTAAATTAAATTAAATAATTCGTTGATTAAAAAGTAATATATATATATATATATAAGTATTCGGTTTTCTTTAATGTTTAAAATTGTATCAAAATAAGTGTAATTTAATTCTTAAGTTGTTTAAAACAAAAGTTGTAAAACTTGTGTTTCTATTCGATTCAACTAGAACTTGTTGCGCAATGGTGTCCAAACATGTACAAGAGGAGACAAACTACTATTGGAAGAAGTTCAGAAGTTTGTCATCCAATGGCATATCACCAAAAGAATTTTTGGACAATTTGATATATTTAAATAAATCATCAATTAGACAAAATAAGGTATTAATTGTATAATCAAATAATTTAGTTATAAAACTTGTAGTATATGATTCTATTTTAAATATTATTTGACGTTATTTTGCATTGAAAATATTTTTGTTTTGCGTAAAACCAATTTATAAAACAAATACACACTTTTAACAAAAGTAAAAAAGAATATTCACAAAAATATTGTTTATAATGAATATTGGCAAAAATGGTAAACATAGTTTCAGTGCCATAAAAATCATAGATGCAGGCGGTGCACAGCACCGGGGCCCGCAGGGTCAAAGGGCCCATAGCCAATAGCCGTCAATTTTTTTTTTTTAAATTGATTTAATTTGATTCGTAATTATTGTATTATTATCTTGTATTTAATTTTATATAATAAAATGTAAAAGTCTGATCCGTTTTATTTGAAATCGTTTATCTAAATATTGGGAAATATACTAAGAATAGAGAGACATAAATAGATTACTTTTATATTTTATTGTAAATCATATTTATAAAATCCATAATCATATATTCATATTATATCATCTATCTTTGTAGTTCATTCTACAAGTTTTTTTATTTATAAAATCTTCCCAATATACAATGTGATCTTGTATACCTACTAAGTTGAAGCTTTACACAGAATTGTTTTAGATGAAAACTATCCATGGGTTCTTTAAAATTCAATACATCCACAAATACTATCCGATCTAAGGAGTAAAAAATTGGCATCGCGTTAAGTCAATTCGACTTTTTTATGTATCTCAAGAAAAAGAGGCCCATGTACATTTGTCTGCACCTAGGTCTTTGACACTCTAGTTACGGCACTGCGTAATTTATGATTTAGATTATCAAACACGCAAATAAAACCCGTAGAACTTGTTGTAAATAAACTTCTTCATATTTTTGACTTTTTCCGGAGAAGGTAAATTCCGTATAAGACTCATGTTCAGAGTAAATCTTTAGTACGTTTTCAAATATGAAAAAACAAATGTAACTCTCTTAGTTATTGGTACCTGAATATCATATATAATATATAGTTTAAGTTTTAAAAACAGTTGAAAATGTCACACAATTTTTAGGAAGTATTTTCGTGTATTATGAAAAAGTTGCTAGACAAGCGGACATTTGACATAGGATATTCACGCAACCTCCTTATGAAATATAGTTATGTTTTTGGTGGTATTATCGAATACGAGCTCATTCAGTAAGTAGTTTTTGAGATGAACATTTATAGAAAGTTTTCATTTTATCCATTCGATGTATACATGTATTGTATGTACGCATATATTCTACACATGTATAATATATATTTAATTTGTGTACAACGTTTTTCTTCGTTAGCAATCCTAAGGCTTTAAGTAAGGCGCTACAATTCGTCTTGGTCTCCTTGAGCGGCAGACCGCATTCGAAAATGTTCGATTTCGGCGTACTAGCGCTAAACCGATTCCACAAATGTTTGAAGAATCACTGAGAATTTTTCGAAAGCGTAGCAGCCATTCCGCATTTTGAAAAATTCCCTTCGCATTTGATCGCGGTAAGTCTCAGTCGAATAACGTGAACAGTAATTGTCAACCCTGTATACCGTGTACATGTTCTACGTATTTAGTCGTATTTAACTGCGATCGTAGAATAAATCATAATTGAAAACAACGAACATTTAACAGTCAATAGCGAAATATGGGAAATGCACACCGGAACACGAGGACGAAGAAGCTGCCGGTACCCAACAGCCGCCCGTGCTGTACTCGCCTACGACAACATTGGCCGCAGACACGTGGTCGGTCGATCTGGAGGAATACGATTTCGAAGAGGTCGACCGGAATGTAACCGACAAAGAAAGATTAGCGTTCATCGTAAACAATCTGAGTGCAAACAATTTACGCGAAAAGGTTAGTCCCGGTTTGTTCGTACCGCTTATAAACACGTTGTAAAAACACGTTAAAATAATCAAAGACATTTTGAAAAAGAAACAGATAACTATTGTAAAATACGTGTTGTTGCTTACAGAGAATTGGTACGTTACGGTCCGGCGTGGCGCAGCAGCATTCGGCGCAGCGCAGTTATAGGAATAATTGGCCGTACCCAAACCGCACGGTCAAAAAATCTAACTAATAATACTGAATTCAACTTTTCCAATAATAATTTCGTAAACCCAGACTGAAACTTCGTCTCCCACAGGAAATCTTCTTATCTCAAGAACAAACTTCAGGATCATCTGAATCTGAATCTGAACAAACGTAAATACACACTCAATACTCATAACTGCTAAAAAAAAAAAAATGAATAAATAAATAAATTACAGCTTATATCTATATTTATTTTATATCCTATATTTCATAACATATGCATAGAATATGATAAATAACAAATCTTCAAATTATACACACAAATATTTACAATTGTAAGCTTTAACTTTATTTATTATTTGTTAAAAACTTTGTAAAAACAAAATATTTGTTGAAACAATAAAAATTAATAAATAAATAAAAAAAAAAAAAAAATTTCATTATTGATATATTAATATACTTGTAATCTTTATGATTGTTTTATTATTGTTTTAATTAATTATTAATACTTATTATACATATTAAATGACAAATATTGAACTTGGTACCTAATATAAATATTGTTATAACTAATAATAATATTCATACTGTCTTATTGAGTAAAAACTATTCAAGTTTCTTCATTTTAAACAAAAACAAAATAATTTTCAAAAATATTAAAAAGAATATTCATGAATTTAGTTAATGTATAATCTTAATTATATCTAAGTCTGGATTAAGCACCTATCGGGTCCCGGGGTTGAAATTTTATATGGGTTCTTTTGACAAAACATGTTTTACTACAAAGCCGCTCGTTACGATCACAGAATGATACATTTTTTTAAATTATTTTACAAATTGTCAATTGCATTATAAAAATATAAAATGAATAGGTATATAAAATGTATATGTATGTCTATAAAACTACTAATTTTTTTTTTTTTTTATTTGTATATATTACATTACGGGCTGATGCCCATGGTACAGTTTAAGTTTGTTAAATTTAGTAGGATAAAAAATGTGTATCGGCTTAAAATTGTTTGGGCCCCGGGGCTACTGCCCCAGCTAGACCTCCCCTTATTCCGGCCTTGATTATATAATATAATCATTATCTTAGACATCGAAAAAAATTGATAACAATGGGAAAAATACAGTAGGTTTTTAATTAGTATTAATTATGTAATATATTTAGTCAAACCTATTAGTTCTAATTAATTATAAAATTGCATACAATGTTGTAGTTATAGCTAAATTATGTACTTATTTATAATAAATATTTTTGATGTGACAGAAATAATATTAAAATAAATATATTTTTTGTTAAAATGTTTAATTAATAAATATATTATAACAGTCAGTCTTGTTTGCTGTTATTAAATCCATGACTTTGTGAGCTTCCACTAAAAGACTTATTAATGTATAGTTGATTTTACATTTTTCAACTTTTTGGATAATATCTGAAATAGATGAATATATTAGAATTTTAAGATACAATTATTAGATAATTTTACCTATAAAATAAATTATAGATTTTATTTAAGTATTATAAAAATAACTAAATTTTAAGATCAATGAAAAACAGTAAAAAAAAAAATTTAATTTTCATTAATAGCTTCCTAATTTCATGAATAAAATCTAAATACTTAATTTATGCAATGATAATCAAAGAACATATACTAATCAATAATAAAATATTAGAAAAATATTTAATTTATATTACAAAATTAATTTAAAAAAAAAAGTTTTTTTCAACTCAACTTACTTCATTTTCTTTCACTATGTCCTTATTTTTTCTTTCTCGATTAATTGTTGAAGTGGCTTTTATGAAAAATATAGAAGTATTTTGCTTTGTATTGTTGGTTTTTGTTCTATTATTGATTTTTTTATGTAAAATTTGATTTACCCTATTAATTTCCCAAAGTTTTTGATTAGAAAATGATATGTTCTTTTGCTTTTTATTCCATGTTTTTGAGGGTTCGTTTCTTTTAGGATACTCTATATTGCCAATTTTATTTTTTTCAATTTTGTTATTGATATGGTTCAAAGGATAATTAGGAGTGTTAATAATGCTTTCATTTATATTTACATTATTTTTACATATTACAGAAGCACTGACATAGTTATTTTTAGTATAATTATTTTTTTGTAGATGGAATCTTTAAAGTAAGTTTTTGAAAACTATGAATTGTTGAATCAGTTTTATTAGATATAATTAAGTTTGTGTATTTTTTTAATTCCTGAGTCGAAAATATAGTTCGATCAATATTAGAATTCAATGTGTCCATATTTATTAATGTAGAATTTATAGTTTAAGAATAAAAAAAAAGAGCAGTTGTAAATGACAGATTTAATAAAATATAAACATTGTTTTAAAATACATGGGATATTAATATAAAATAAAGAAATATATCAAACTTTGGCAATGAAAAGTATCATGATAAAAAAATATTATAAACTTGAACACATTCACCTTAATAGTTTAAACACCTAGTAATGAAAAATATTATCTTCAAGGGTAGTTTAAGGTATAATATCAACATTTTGATAAAACTAAATTGTTAAAGCAACCATGACAACCCTAGTGTTTATACATCGAACTGTAGATAATGATATAGTAATAATAATCTTATAGGTAGATACAGAGCTTATTTTATGCTTATTTATGCTTTTACATTAAATAGTAATATATAGGGCTCGGATTTTTATGCAAAAAAATATGCAAAATGATTTTTTTTTTTTACAAAGTAACAATATGTTATGAATAAATTTATTAAATTTATTAAAAAAAAAAAAAAATGTAAAATAACATTTTTAATGACATTGTGTAAGTATATAAGTATTATAAATTAATTAAAGTATTACTATTTATATTAAATTAATATTATTGGATGAGGACTAGTATGAAGTAATAAATATGGATTTCAAGTTTTCGAAATGAAAACTCCTACGATTATCTCGAAGCATACTTTTGTATTTGGAAAAAACTTCTGTCTGCGTCACAAGATACAATTGGTGCATATATAAAAATCGATAAATCTTTAATTGACAGTTCCTCGTCATTATCACATTCAGTTACCAAGCTGTTGAAGTAGGATGATATAGGGGATTCTGGGTGTCCTCCCTCTTAAAAATTCCTCCCTAGCAACCCGCAATACATTAATAATATTCCCTTTAGAATGCAACCCTACACCCAGACAAACCTAACAAGAACCATGACCCTCTCCTTAAATTAATATTATTTTTAATGACAAAACAACTTTCCCCTTATAATACACAGGTAAACCTTACTAAGACCTTCCCTTTATAATTCACCACTCAACACAGACAAACCTAACGAGAACCAGTACCCTCCCCTTAAATTAATATTCTTTTAATGACAAAACACGACCTTCCCCTTATAGTACACAGATAAACCTAACTAAGACATCCCCTTTATAATACAACTCTCAACACATACATACCTTACAAAAATCACGATCCTCCTCTTAAAATAAAACCATCAACACAGAAAAACCTAACGAAAACCAGTACCTTCCCCTTAAATTAATATTATTTTCAATGGCAAACTACGATCTTCCCCTTACCTTACACATACAAACCTAAAAAAACCATGACCGTCCCCTTAAAATACTATTATTTTCACTAACGAAACACGACTTTAACCTTACCCAACACAAATAAATCTAACGATAACCAGTACCTTCCCCTTAAATGTAACCTGCAATACATAAAATCCAAGTGAAAACCATGACCTTACCCTCACCCACAACTATAACCATTCTCCCTAAACAGCGCTTTCAAACCATACACCACTCTCCTAAATACACCTCACCAGCCCTGCTGCGCGTCACAATCCGCAGATAACGGTAATACATGTAATATTATTTCATTGTAATAATATACATTCTATACAAAACACAATATGTCAAATCAGTCAATACAGATCTTTACAATACATTATCGAGAAAAATCGTAAATATCTATAACATGAAGAAAAAAAAAAACAAATATCATAATAATTTCGTGCAGATAGATTCGTTGTACATAGCGTAAAGTTTAATTATAACTTTTTTTTTTTTTTGTTTATAAATTTAATTTATTCAATCTGTTCAAAGTGAATAATAAGAACAATTGAGGACATAGTATAAGAGAGTAAGTAAAAAGAGAAAAAAAAAATTAAAAATAAAAGTGACAGTGTAATGACAGAACGTAGAAGCCTCCCAGTGGAGGTACTACAATAAAAAAAAAACATGAGTATTAAAATTAGTTTGTCAGAAGGTTTCTACACCACTTTTGCTTTAGCCGTTTGAGAGGATTTCCAGGGATGGTCAGGGAAGAGATATTGTTCATGAGTGGGGTTCTGTGGTTTAAAAGACGGTTATGGAATCTTTTATAGTGAATTCTAGCCATGTCTGTAATAAAAGGTATGGAGAGGTCGTGATGGAGTGTGCGATTGGAAACGTAATATGGTGCTTTAGTGATTTGTCTTAAGGTCTTGGATTGATGGGTTTATATTTTATTGATGTTAGTGGGTTTTGCTGATCCCCAGAGCTGTATACCATAGACCCATATTGGTTTAAGTAGCATTTTATATATAAGTAATTTGTTCTTAAAATGGATGTGTTTAGATGTCAGTAGGTGTCTCAGCTGGCGGCTACGTTCATTCAGCGTTAAACGTTTGGAGCGTATATGAGGAGCTCATGTGAGCCGGCGGTCTAGTGTTAGTCCAAGATATTTAATGTTTTGAGAGTAGGGTAGTGGTTGGTTGTTGAGGAATAGTTGTGGACAGTCACTGAGTCGTAGTGTGAAAGTAGACTGAAGCGATTTCGTTTGATTTAGTTTTAGGCCCCATTTTGTGTACCATGAAGCTAGTAGATCGAGATGGGTTTGTATAAAAGAGGCAGCTATGTTTGGGTCAGAATGGCATGCTAGTAGTGCTTTGTCGTCTGCAAAGTCAGCTACTATTGTATTTTGGGTAGTGGGTTGATCTGCGGTGTAGATGTTAAAGAGGAGTGGTGCAATAACTGCCTATTGTGGGACGCCAGAATCTATTTTGGAAATATTTGAGAAGGTTGTACCCGAACGCACAAAGAAGTGGCGATCACTAAGATAAGATTTTATAAGTAGATACAAGTATGGGGGGAATAGGAGGAGCCCTTGGTGCCAAATTCGATCGAAATCCTGTTCAACGTCTAAAAACACTCCTGTGCATATGAGTTTTTCTTCAAGAGAAAAAGAAATCTTATCTACGAGACGGTGGATCTGGTGTATTGTGGAGTGATTGTGCCTAAACCCGAATTGAGTATTGGAAAGGTTTTCTTCTATGATTGGTAGGAGGCGTTTAAGAATCAGTTTTTCGAAAATTTTTCGAGAAGTAGGGTAAGAGGCTGATTGGTCTGAACAATTGAGGCATTTCTGTGGGTTTGCCTGGTCTGTGGATCATTATTATTGTTGAATATTTCCAAAGCAAAGGGAAGTAGGTGAGCCTTATCATAGAATTATATATAAATGTAAGGAATAGTAAAGCCTTTTTTTGGGAGATGCATTGCGACTTCAGATGTTATTAAATCGTAGCCGGGAGATTTGTGTTTCTATGATTTATTAATTAGGTATTTTTGAAAAATTTTTAAAATATTTTTGAAAAATCACTCTTAATAGAATTTTCTATGTTTGATTTTAGTTGAATTCCAGAACCTACCAAAAACTTTTGATAATTATTGTATTGTAATGTATATTCACAATGTGTATTGCACATAATGTTGTAATATTGTGTTGTCCATTTTGATTGGTAGTAATTTATAAGTTCTATTTTGTTAATTTTAACTCATACATTTTTAAATTTTAAATGTGTAAAAGCTTATTTGTATATGTTATTTTTGCTGAATTTTGAATACATCAGTAATTTATTGAAATTAGAGTAGCTTTTTAAGATAATTCTAGGGAAAAATAATTTTCATTTATAATTTTGTTGAATTATAAGAAAATAAAAATTTCATTCACTGAGTAGATGATTTATTTATTAAACTTATTAGTTTAATATAATTAAAATGCATCAATATATTTATTGAAATTATATTCATAAAATAAATTTGTATGAATTTAATTATCGAAAAAAAAAAAAAGGGTGAAGAAAGGCTTTGAAAAGATAGAAATGAATATTTTCTCTTTGTAGTTTCCAATGAACACACAGATTTTTTTTAATAAGCTTTAAATACTTATTAATGATATAGTTAGATAAGCTACAGTATAGTTATTAACGTAATATATAATTATAATTTATTAAGATTAAAACTATTACTATAAGAATATACTAAGTTTTTTTCCCCAATTATGTTGGTTTTTTATTGAGAAGAGTGGCGGCCATGTAGCCATAGAAAAACTCTCTAGTATCTAAGGCTAATTTAATGTTGTTGAATCAAACTAAATTTAATATTTGTATATTAATAAATTTTAATATTTTTTTAATATTTAATTTAATACAATAAATTATATATATTTTTATTATTGTACAAACCAAAGAAATTAAATAAAAATATTATAACTTTTACTCTAACTATAGGATACTTACTATGATAAAAAACTAAAAAGTATTATGTAACAATAATTTTATTAAACATATTTTATTGGTGCAAATTGTAAATTCATTTCATTCATTTATCATACTTCATATTAACTTCAAAATTATTTGAATATACTATACTTAAAACATATAAAAGACTTTTTATCATAAAAAAAAAAAAAAAAAAAAAAAAAAACGTTTAATCATAATTATAAAGTATGAAATTAATGATAAATTGAATTTATAAAATATAATTTAAATATAATATAATTGTATAATATACAATGAAATTAATAAGATATATTTAAATATATGTATGTTATTTTTTAAAGAATAACAATAAAAATCATAAATAGGGTTTAAAAAAATGAGATATCATATGAAGTATTCATTATTTTATACTTAAATGTGTATAGGAGATGTTAAGCGGTTAGTAGTAGAAGTGTTTCTTGAGGCTTTATGTTTCAGTTCTCTTCGATAATCATCTGATATTTTCATTAGTTGTGTTTTCATATGAAGTAGTTCTCTTGTCCTTTGATAAATTGGTTCCTGAAAAAAAACAACAGTCTAATAAAATTCATTATTTCTAATTTATATTCATAAATCATAATATTATTAATTATTTATGAATTACTTGAGGTCTCATGCTTGGATTCCAACGACAATATAGACCTTTCCACATCTTAATGTAACGTAATGAAGCAACTGGTTCAAGAGCATGTTGCTGAGGCCAGTATAGAGGATTTTTATATAAATCTAGATCACTGTTGATGTAAGACCAAAGTGAAACAGTTTTTTGTTTAACTTCTTTTTGTAAACGTTCCTTTTCACTGTGTAAAAGTATAAAAATTTAAAGTAATAAAATATTAAGCATCACATATACAATTATAGAAATAAAATAAATAATAATTTTATGATAATTGATGATTTTCAAAAAGAATATATGAGGTAACTCCTCTAACCAAAAAAATTATTTGAATATAAATATTATTATTATTATTATTATTATAAACATAATAGATATGTCATATTTATCTATACCCAGTGGCGTATATAGGTTTTCATTTTGGAGGAAGCTGATTATGTAATTGATTTTTGGAGGTAAGAGAAGGAGGAAGCACACTATTATGACTAGGGCCCAGAATTGTATGCATTTGCATATTTTTATATATTAAACTAAAAAGTAGCAAGATAAGACAGAAATTTGAATTTTAATCTAACGTATTGGTATGTGAAATTAAATTTGGCATATTTTTGCATATTTGGAACATTTTAATTTAATATGCATATTTTATTTATCTGAAATATAATGCATATATAGAAAAAAATGTTTTGAAGTTATTAATATTATTATTTATTACTTAGCATATGTCCATCGTAAATTCCGTGAATCGTGCCGTTATATAATTTGATTTTTGTGATATAATAAGATAAGATAAAGTTTGCTAAAAGTACCAATACGATAGTAACTCTCCAGGTAACTTAAAAAAAAAATTATAAAAATCCGCTTGATTTGTTTAAATTGATTTTTGTTTAGATGAGTGAGTGTTCAAAATACAATTTAATTTCAATACAACATACAGTTCTATACAGTTCAATAAAATATATAAAATGCAATTGATATATTTTAAAGTATATTTTTTATTTAATATAAATTATTTAATGAATTGTATACATTTTAAAATTAAATAAATTAAATAAATAATAAACATGCATTTTTGTTTGCATATTTTCGCATATTTCGTAAGATTTTAGTACATGTAATTCCGAGGCCTAATTATGACAACAATTATTTTAACGCTATAAGACCTTCTTCTCGACTGTCTTTACACCATCAGAGAAATAAGAAATTCAATTTTTTTATTGATTTAAAATTTTTTAAAAGTATAAAAACTAAATTGTAATAAACAATTTTTTTATTAGTCACTCAAAATTCACTACATATTTTTTTAAAAGAATAAATATATTTTATAAATATAAAATTTAAAATTATCGCATAAGCAACATTCTCAGTGTCCCCCCCCCCAGCATTAAGATATATCCATGTTAAAAATAACAATCTTTAATAATAGTGTTTTTCATTTCAAGGGGGGCATAAATACGTCCTTGTCTATACCAGATTCCTTTAATTTTTTTAATTTTAATTGTAACAATCATTTTACTCTTTTTCTGTATATAAACATACTATAAGTAATGATAAGTTTAAAAAACAAACGGATAGACAATATCTTATAATTTCTTAGGTAACCTCTCTACAGCTGTATAGTGTTCCTAAATAATACAAATTATATAGTATACACAATGTATTAGGATTTGGTTTGATACAGGTATATATATATATATATATATTATACGTATATTATTCTGTATAACAATAATTGCATAATATATACTCACATTTTTTTTTTGTAACATAAATTACCTCATATACTTTTTATGATAGTCATCTATATATTTGTACATATGAACTTATGTTACGCCGAATTCGTGAAATCAGCAAAACTAAATTGCTGATATCATTAATTGAACAAGATTTTTTTCTGCTGAATGCGTTAAATTCGGCAACATATTATTCAATGATGTAGTATTATGTACATGATTAGAATGGTTTTTATATTATTTACCGAGGGAGCATGAAAATAATTTTTATTCCGAAATCATTACTTATTAATAGCAAACTCTACGAATAATATGCTTATATTCTGTGTCATCTGAGCTTAAAAGTTGGATTATGCAATCGTAATTACAGCATGGAAATGTCACGAGTATAGAGATAAACTCGGTATAGAGTATAGGTTCAGTGCTATGACCAGCGATGACGACATTAGGGGGGATTAGTCCCCCAAAATCGAAACTTTGTTAGAAATGTTATTCGTTGTTTTTATAATTATCTGTTAGTTTTTTTGAAAATTGTTAAATAAGAAATAATAAAAAACTATTTACAGTAGCATTAACAATACCAAATTAGTTCGGCTACTTGCGAAAGAAGTTTCTGCGCAATGAAAAAAATAAAAACTTGGTTAAGGTTCAGCGATCTTTTAATACTATATATTGAAAAATATAAAAAGCAATGATATTTTGAATATCTTTGCTGATACAAATATATTTGTCATTAAAATAAAATATTAATTATTTTTTAATATACGTTATTTAGTGTTCTTTTTTTTTTTGTAATACAATTTAAACATATCTATATTTTTAATAGTAATAAGTCTTACTTGTGCACGAGAAGGGGGTATGGGAGCGAAGCCCCTGCAAGTTATTTTAGATTGAATTATTATAGTCCCCCCCTCAAAAAAAAAAAATTCAACCAAATGTCCGCCTATGTATTGGCATGTATGTATTATTGGCTTGTAAAATAATAATACATAATGTAATAGGTGCCATTATGTGTGTGTACTAATACGTAACAAATTTTCGGATGATAGATTCTCAATGGACGAAAGAACGAGATGCTGAAGCTATTCTAATCTTAACTGACGACCCTAGCGTCAATAAAAATAGATAGGTGATATTATCAAGTCAATAAGAAATTTTATTGAGGTAGTTGGACTTCGACGAGTATGAAGGAAGCGCGATTAGGGCATTATGGAGGTAGTCAATAACTTCTTTGGTATTATTCGTGATATGCACGAAGCCAGTGGGCATAAAGGGCAGACGAAAACGCACATAAAAATTAAGGAGTACTACTTCAATATTTCAACGGTTGCTGTAAAAGCATATATTGCAAGATGTGAAAAATATGCTGGAATATCAAAAAAAAAAAAAAAATTATGAGCAAAGTGTCATTCTGCGGCTCATTCTTGCAAAATTAATTAAATTACCAGGGGCAAGTGGGCCTATTCGACTTTTAGAGTTTATCTGACGATGATTCTAAGTTCATTTTTCATTATAAAGAACACTTGATGGAGTTTTCATTTTGAAAGCTATGCCTCTGAAAAACAAGAAAGCTTCGGAAGTAACGAACGAATTGTTAAACATATTTTTAACGTTTGATACGCCCCACGTTTTATAGTCCGATAATGGTCGCAATTTAATCGCAGAGTTAATTACAGAATTAACCTCATTATGGCCCAAATTAATAATAATAAATGGTCGGTCGCGTTACCCGCATAGACAAGGTTCTGAAGAAAAAGTAATTGTACGCTAAAGGGTTCATTGTTAGCATGAATGCAAGACAACACAACTACAGGCTGGAGCAACGGACTTAGTTTTGTTCAATGGGGTGCTAATACCTCATAGTCACACCACAAAATTATCAAGATGACTCTGCATGAAGCGGTTTTTGCAAAAAAAAAAAAAAAATTAATGGGATTGACGATTAAAGTGCCTCAATTATTATTGGATTAAATGACAGGAACGCTAGAAGAGAATTTGTAGGGCGTGTTTTCAGTTACATCTCCAAATACTCTTACCTCTATCAAAAATAAGAAAATTGAAGGGATGGAAGTACTCAAAACTGAGGAAAGTTAAATTGTGATAAGGAAAATATTAAATAGTCAGTATTCAATTTTTTTTCATATCTTTTTTAAATAATATAAAATTATGCTGTTTAAAATATATATGTAATATTGAATAATTTTTTTACTTCTAAAATTGTTCAAGTACACTACCAAAAGACAATGATAACTAGTTATCTCATTTGGGATCTCAGACGACAGTCATTGTGTTAAAAAGTCATTGGGCTTAGAATTTATATTATAAATTTAAAAATGATTAAAATACCTGTTAAAAAGGAATGTTCCAAATCTACAGGAATATAGATGATCAACAATAGTAATTAAAAATAACTCATTGAATTCAAATGCGTTGGGAAACATGCATGTCACCTGCCATACGCAATCTATAAATTGTAGAAAAACAGGGGATCTATCAGCATCTGAATGGTGATCATCTCCATGGCCAATTCTCTAAACATAAAATCATGAATACAATAACATATAATATACAATTATTGTAATAATGAGTTGATATGATCAGTTTATTGTAAAATAACTATAAAATAAAATCTTATTAGTAGTTAGAATATAATTTATTCTTAAAATCATTTAGACATTTTACTTACGTGTTGAAATTTGTGTCCAAAACTAAGCCATTCCTTTTCAATCAAAACTTCAAACCCTTTAATAGTTCTATAATATGGATCCAAAAGTACCATGGCAAGTGCAGTTAACTATAAATACATATAAAATTTACAAATTAATAATAATTTAGAATAAAGATTTATATTAGTATTAAAACTTAACACATTTTCATACTTGAGCTGTACGATCCCATCCATCAGAACAATGAACTAAAACTGAAGTTTTATGGTTTTCTACTTTATCAACAATACGGCAAGCTCCAGCTAAAATACATTTGATATGTTTTAACCAATATGTAGATTCAATTCCAGATAACCATTTTGTTTCATCAATATTTGGAAAACATATTTCTGAGGAATTATATAAACAATTTGTAATAAATAAATAATAATATTAAATTTTTTTTTTAAATAATAACCTTTTAATTTTCTTAAAGATTCTCTCATAACATGAATGTTATGGATATCAAGAAATATTAGTTCGGCATTCTGATAAGCATCTTCTGGTTCATAACCACCTCCTTTAGCCTTATTAGCAATGGCATTTGCACTACAACATAGCATTTAAATAATGAAACAAATATAAGTTGAATGTAGTTCATTGATTTTACCTAGGTCTTGCATCCATTATGTAAAGCTTATGTGATTGGGCATTCGCATCAACTATAAGTTGGGTATATCTCTCATCATCACGACACCTTTTTCCACCAACACCTACTAAGGGTTGAGATGCCCTTGTTATAGTAGCTTGGGATTCAGAATGTAACCAGCTCAGTACTGGTATTCGACCTCTACTTCTAAAAGCAGCAGCATTTCTTATAATTTCATCTGTTGCTCCAGCTGGAACTGCTAGAATAGCAGGATATGTCTCACAAAGATCATAACCATCATTCAGTTTGGTAATATGCCATGTATCATTTGGAACACCCTAAAAAAAAAAAAAAAATGTATTTAAATATAAACAGCTAGAAAAAGTATATAAATTTACCATTCTTTTGAGTTCAGCCATAGGTTCATACACATTCCAACCATTTTCTGGGAATGTTTCAGTATATTCAAAGGCAAATAATGGAATACTGTGAGAAAGAGGAAAAGCATATTGCTGTAACTTTTCAAAAACATTACGCCTTGAATGATTCTCTTGTTTATGACCAAAGCGTAGATTTCTCATATCTTTACAGAACAGTTCAATACCATACGAATTTTCTCCTCTACTTGACTGACCTCCAACTTTTTCTACTCTACTTACCTAATGAATAAATTATATTAAATTTATATTAATTTTCTAATAATTAAAATTTAAAATAAATCAAATATATTCTTTTTGAAAAAATAATTTATTTAATTTATATAATTAGTTTCATATCGTATTTTATACTAACCACGCCCAAAGGTACTTCAATGACCAACTGAGTATCACGTTCTAAACTTTTAAAATATAGTTTATAGTTGGTTACAGATAACCAACCTCTAGCTGGACCACTAAATGGACATAAATATGTAACATCTCGAGCAACACCTTGCACTTTTTCTCCTGGTAATAATGGTGGATCGTCAGAACGGCTAGAAACAACATTTTCTGGTATCTGAAATATTAGACAATTTTATTATTTAATCCAATCAATACATTTATATAAATATAAAATTCAAATCCCTTATCAAGGCTAGGTTTTACAAGAAAATAAGAAATTATAATTATCTAATTAAAAATAAATTGATCTTACTCAATAGCAGCTGAACATATATATTTTTTTGGAAGCTTTTAATAATTTTCAATAGCTATTTTTCAGCTATAGTTTATAATAGTTATAATAGTAAGTAATTTATTATTAGTATCTTAGATAATTAATTTATGGAAAATAAAGAAGTAAACATATTTTAAATACAAAAATGATAGAAGATGGATTTTTTTAATGTTACTTGGTCTTTCATCTAATTAAAATACTTTTAAGTTCTAGAACTTCAAAAAGTCTATTATTTATTATATAAAAAAAAAGTTTTCCTTTTAAGTTTTTATTTAATTAGTTATTTACAATAAATTTATTTGGCTTAATCAAAACTGTTATATCAACTAAATTCTAATAATTTTTTCATAAAAATCTAAAAAACAAGTGTTTTCAGATTCAATTGAGTATGATTTATAAATCATATTATTTATGATAAAATTCTTAACTAGGTATCAGATTATATATACTATATTTATTTTATTAATGAAATTAGGTACTTTATTCCTTAATTTTATATCTCCAACGAAAGGAATTTCATTTGATGTAGAACTGGTTGATCGGCGGCTTTTGGTAGGTGAATTTGATTCCTAACCAAAATAAGTTATATTAATGCATAATAATAAAAATCATCAATTTTATATTTAATTATCAAAAGTGTTATTTAGATGGAAAAGTATATAAGACATAACTATTAAAAAAAAATGTTATGTTAAAAAAATGTACTAATGAACTTCAAAAAAAAAAAAAAAAAAAATTGAAGAATAAATAATAAAAGTACATAACTAAAAGAAAATTAATAACAATTAAATATAGAAAAACCTTACCGCAGGTTTTATAAGTTTGAATTAAAAAAGATTTTTTTGAATAAGTATAGTTAAAAGAAAATAAACTTACCTATAATAAAATTATATTTAGAAGCATAAACATATCTATATTATATTTAATTAAGAAATACTATGACTTACTGATTCTTGTTCAACTTTTGAATTTAAAGAACTAGATTTTGAGTCTGAATCGGAACTCATATTTTGAAACTTATTATTTAAATCCATTATGAATGAAAATTGGTTTTTAATTTTTTAAATTAACATTTTAAAACTATTTACCAACAAAATAATAATGGTCGGAAATTATAAAACAAAATTCCTTGTTGGAATATTACATAGTTGAAAGTATAAACATTCAAAGTAATAATTGTTACTTGATCTTATCTTATAAATATTTTTTCTTATCACAATATTTATGTAATAATAGATAGATATATTTATAAAAAGTTCATCTACCACGGTATGTCCATTTGTCGAACAATGATAGTTTATATTTGATATTGTATCTAGAAGGCCTTTGAATTTATATTGAATATTCAGACTAATTACTGCTCGTTGCAACCTTTTTATTTAACCCTAGAAACCAAAAATAACTAAAGACTTACCGATAATTTTAAAACATAAAATCTATAAGCTAATAAGTCTATTAAGAGGTCTTGGATCAAAATATATAATATGTCTAGGGAAGGGGTTTGATATAATCAAATAAATATTTATAACTTTAAACATCAATAAATTAATATAATGTTATAATATTTTTTATTATTAATATATTTAAATTTTTGTATAGTTAAAAATTAAAAATAAAACTTCGTTTTTTTAATCACTGGGTGTGGTATGTACCTGCGATTTATCGATAAATTGCTCTTCAATGGCTTGGATTGAAAATTATTTTTTTAATTACGAATGTAACAGTTTTTTTTAGAGAAAAATCATATTGCAATGATGAATTTTCGATGAAATATATTTATCCATGAAAACCGAATATCGATTGTAGTTCATTTGACGACAAGAAGCCATTCTTATTAATTTGAAGTATTGTTTTCGAATAATACCAATGTAGTCAATGTTTCATCATAATTCTCAAAAACTTTAAAATAAAACATATTATTAAAAAAAAAACACATATTGAAAATTTAAAATTCCATAAAATTTCGAACTTTTTTTACACAGTCAAATTTTTATAGTGTCTTATTTGACACCGATTTAAAATTAAATAAAATTAATTAAAACGATAATAATTTAAGTAATAATTTATTTCATAATGAATTAAATTTAAATATATTTTATCATTAAATAATAAAATGTATACTCACAAAAATACTAAATTAGTGAGTAAAATATTCAATATATATTATATACACATAATTTATATTGAACCATATTATGACATACTAAAAGATACAGCAAATTAATAAAAGTCACCAATTTTGAAATATATGTAAGTGAGAACATTTATTACTCAATAATTTTCTAAAAAAAAATAATTTTGAAAACAAATTTGTGAACTTATTGTGTATTATTATATACTTATATTTAAATTTTTACGCGTAAAAAAATATTCAATTCCCATAGATTTTTTCAACCATAACGTATCGCCAGATAGAAAAAACCAATAACACCATTAGAGTAGGTAAAATTTAATAAATATCAAATGTTCCCAATAATTATCACAAAACATATGGCCTACTAATGCCAATAGTTTAAAACGAAAATATCTTGCCCGACATTCAGTTTGGTCTCCGTTCCAGTCATTCAACCACCCATCAACTACACCGCATTTCCTCGGCACTTGATTGTATAAAATGAAAATTACTGCTCGGGAGTATTTCTAGATGTTGCAAAGGTTCTCGACATTGTTTGGCACCACGAACTATTTTTTAAACTTCAAAAAATATTTCCAGCCCCTTACTATCTATTCTTAAAGTCATACTTTGAAAATAGAACGTTCAGAGTCAGAATAAATACCATGCCATCAACCCACTATAAGTTCTAACTGGCGTTCCTCAAGGCAGCGATATTGCCTCATTTCTCTAAATTTACTACACTGCTGATATTCCAGTTAATCAGTTCATTTTTATTGGAATTTACGCAAATGACACAGCCATACTTATCTCAAGTGTTGTCCCTATCGTTGCCAGTCAACAAATCCAAACCCACCTAAACACTCTCATGTTTTGGTTCAATAAATGAGGAATTAAATCAACAGAACTAAATTATCACATATTACCTTTTTCCTACGACTACAAGATTGCTCATTAATCATCTTGAACATTCCACTTTTCCCAGTGATGTATTGCTAAAATAAATCATGGGTATACGCCTTATTTCATTAAGTAACTATCATGTGATACGAACAGTGGTCGAAATGGCTCAAGTGGAGGGATGCCTTGCAATTCAGATTTCCTGATATCATTATAACATTCTTCATACCTTATGTACCTATAATATTTTTCTTTTTTATAGTTCACATAAGGTATATTATCTTAGTCCGTGGGCTCTAAATACGGATATAATATGGATTGCGAAACGGCTTATATTAAACAACACGATAAGCTGGGCGTCCAGGCCTGAATGTTAAAAACAATTATTTTCACCGAAAAAAAAAATAATTTCTTATATATAAATATAAAAATGATAATAAGTATATAATTTTAAAATACAAGTCTTAGAAGGAATGCGTTATTCTAGAGAAAACAAGTAGAGGGATGAAAACTGTAAATAGAAAAAAAGTAGATGGATGCCATTCCACCGTATCCCCCAATTCGAGCACTGGGTAGGAACCAAAAAAAACTCACTCACGAACTACACATCCTTAATTATGACTGTTTGATAACAAAAATTTGTTGTTAATTGATTTAACAAATGATAACAAATTTTAATTTTTAAGAAAAATAATAATAATATATCCGACACCGAATCGCGTCATAAATATAACTAAAAGTTAAGTTAGTCAAGGTATTGTATAGTTATTTGTCAAATTAGAAGCTATACGCTAGATACAGCCGTATACCCGCGTATTATCAATTTCTCATAAGCTATACGCCCTGGATAAAAATAGCATATTGGGTATACGCCGTATACACTCCAATACACCACTGATTATTCCGTAGGGATGGGAATCCAACTCGTTTTGCTGAACTGAATCTTTCAACTCTGTTCAGTGTAATGAGTTGAATCAAAGAGTCGACTCCCAACTCTTTGTTTGAATCAGATTACCACTACTTTAATCAACTCTTCAAGTCTCGACTCACAAGTTCACAGTCCATATTCATGAATAGCTTATCGCATATGAAACTAATTATGACTATAATTAGTACAACATTACGAATTTTTATCAGAGAGTCAGAAATCTTGTTTTAAGAAACAATGGAAATATTAATAACCAAATCCGAGGGGAACTATTGTTTAAGTTGGTACAGTGATCACATTCGTTTGAGAGAACTGTGATCATTTTAAGCGGCGACTCTAAAATACATTTTTTTACACTATTTGAAATCGTGCTCCTACTAGTCATAATACAGTATACAACTACATACTATACAAACAGTATACTGAACGACGGAAGAAAACAAACTAGGTATAAAGTGTAAAAATATTGGTGCTTGTGAGAACAAAAACTGTTTCAAACATGTACGAATGCACGATATGAAGTGTCGCTTATTACCTAGGTTATATTAGATAAAATTAGCTCGATCAAAGTTCACGATCAGTGCCGCAACTACACCAATTTGGGCCCGTGTGCAAATAAAATTAATGCCCCCTCCTCTCTGTCTTGAAAATTAATTTTTCCAAATTTGAAAACATACTTTGGATTTTTGCTCATACAAATATAAACAAAAATAAGGTTAACATAAGTAAAACACATACAGGTATATATTTACAAATAAATAAATGTAATAATTTGTAACCTTTTTTAATTCATATTAAATATAAATAATTATCAACATTGTAGGTAACATATAAATTGAACACAGTAAACATTAACATTAACAGTCAATTAAAAAATTGAAAAAAAAACATCACTCACTTTAAAAAATTCATTTTTCTTGCCTTTTTGTTGGCAAAATTGTCAATTATATTTTCTATGTTAATATCATTTGTTTGTTGTCTTTCAATATTAAGCAAAGCTATACTTGAAAGTCTCTCTTGCCCGATGGAGTTCCGTAAGTAATTTTTGATAAGTTTAAGCTTTGAAAAGGATCTCTCAGCTGAAGCAGATGTCACTGGTATAGTCAAAAAAATTATAATACCGATAAATACATCAGGAAATATTGATGTCAGCTCTTCCTTAACAATAGTATCAGCTAAATCGTGAATTGTCATATTTTTTAAATAGTTGGTTTGAAATTTGGAAGATAAATAGCCTTTAATTATAATAAGTTGACGAGTGAAATCAGAACTGATATCTTCTTTATATTTGTTAATAAAGTCATATGATGACTTAACAATCAATTCGTCAGACATTGATGTTAATATTTCAGGCATTAATATAATAAAATCATTACACACAGTTTTCATTCCTTTAAATCTAACTCTTAATTGTAATAGTGTTGTGTCTACAACTGGGTAAAATATAGTAACTCTAAAATTATCATCAGTTGTAGTAAGCCGGCGATCACTGTCTACTTCATCAAAATACTTTTTTGCATATCTTTGACGAGTTTCACTTAACTTGAAGGGTATATTCCACTTCATACATAATTCCCTTGAATCTTTTATTATTTGGTCATATTGATCCCGCAACTTTTCTATAATTAAAATAGCACTTTCTAATTGTGTTGATGCTTTTTGTAAGCTTAAATTAACTGATTGCATACTCTTTGATACCACTTGTAAGGATTTTAAAATAGGTTCCCATATACATAGAATAATTATAAATTCAGCATTTTCCATTTTTTTTTTTAAAGTTGTAGCCATATTTATTTCATCTTTTTTGGAACTTGAAAGCTGGATATTAGAAAGAGATTTCAAAACATCAACAAATCTGTGTTTTAATGAAAATAAAGCATTGTGTCTTGCTTCCCATCGAGTAGGACACACTTTTTTTAAAGTTATTTTATTTATTTTATTCCCGTACTCTTCACCAAAGGCTAGCTGAGCCCATCTTGGCGAACTTGAGCTAAAAAAATTGTAGATGTCTTGCACAGTATCAAAAAATGATTGTATTTTTCTAGTACTTTTAGCAGCATCACATAAAACCAAATTTATATTGTGAGAACAGCAATGAACAAATATAGCGTTAAGTACAATATCACAAATTTGTTTTTGAACGCCTGTTATTGAACCACTCATCACTGCTGCTCCGTCATATCCTTGACCGCGACATTTCATAATATTTAAATCCAATCTCATTAATGTATTTT